CCCCTCCCCCGGCCCCCCTGTCACGCCAAGCCTTCCACAAGACGAGCCCCAAAACGCCCCCTGCCCTCGCCGCCAGCCTGCCCCGCACCTGCAGCAACGCCACGAGAGACGCCCCCTCTGCCCCCGCCTCCAGAGCATTTGTCACGCGCGCGGGCGCCCCCGCCCGCGACCGCTTGTAGCGGCCGCCGCAGCCGCACAGCGTGGACGCCATGCGCAGGCCTAGCGCCTGGAGGTACGCGCCGCCAGAGTCGGGGGCGGCGTCCCTGTTGTCGGCACCACAGGGCGTCGCCGGGTTGTAGGGGTGATCAGGGCGCATAGATTACCGTGGGATGCTCTCTACATGCGTTCAGCACCCAAACTAGAGCGTGGCTGGGGCCACAGCTAAAGTACACACAGCGGGCCAATCACTGGCATCTCCACGCAGCAACCGAGAGGAAAGTGACACGCAGTCTGCACCGACACACCACCACAAAAGCGCCCAGCAGCCACGCCGGCCGCCAGCCTACCTGTCGAGAGCCCAGGCCGCCAGGTCAGCGGCCAGCCCGAAGCACGTCAAGATGACGTCATCGGCCCTGCCGGCCGCGCCCGGCGCGTCGCTGTCCACCGGCGGCCGCCGCGGCAGCAGCCACGGGGCCGCGTGCGGCAGCGTGACCAGATCGACCGCCACCACCAGCGCCCACTTGCGTACGCCCTGAGAGGGTGTGAGTGGGTGCATTTCAAATCCAATTTCAGCAGAGACGCAGGCATGGTGTTACGGCTTAGAGGAGGCACGGCGCTGCTCCTCTGTGGCTGCCAGCAGAAGCAGCGCCTGCGTGCGCCGTCGTGCAGGCGGCGCGCCGCGCGCCGCGGGCGCGGCCCCAAGGGCCGCCCCCACCCTCTGCCGCCCCAGGGCACTTCCTCCCGCAACCCTCGACCCACCACGTTGCTGCTCTCTGGGTCCGCTGCCGCCAGCACGTCCGACAAGAAGCGGCGCGCAATCTGGTCGTTGGGCACGACCGCCGCCGCCGCGGCGCCGCGCCGCCGCCACGCGGCCGCGGAGCCGGCGAGGCCCGCCGCGGGCGGCCCCACCAGACCGTGCAGCGCCATCAACGCGTACGCCTGGCGCCGCTTCACGGCCGCGTCCGCCGCAGCCGCCGCGGCGGCCGCCGGCTTGGGTTTGCCGCCCGCCTGTGGGCGCTCGAAGAACGACGCCGCCGGCCGCGCCTGCGCCGGCCGCTGCAGCGCGCGGGCGGCCGTCTTCAGCACCCCGCGCCACCGCTTGTCCGCGGCCACCGCGGCGCGCAGGCCGGCCAGCGCGCCCCACGCGCCTCCGCTCGCGTCGTCGGCGGCATCGCCGCCGCCGCTGCCGTCGCCGGGCGCAGAGTCGGCGCCCTCAGGGGGCTGTGGGGGGTCACCCGATGTGCTGCAGGGGTTGTGGACCCCGGGCTGCGGCGCGGACCACGGGTGCAATGATTCAGGCCGCCGTCAGTATGGGCGCGTGCTGCCAGAGGCGGTACAGTTTGCATACGCGTGTTGCCCACGGCAGCTGTACAGCCAGTCTCACAAAGATCAATTTTCAAGACGCCACCTGCTATGGCCTCACGGGCCAACTTTTAATATGCGGTCCGCTCGCATCCCAGCCCAGCCCCAGGCTTTCCCCTCCCTGAAACAACACCGCAAAGCGCTCACCATCAGCAGTGCCGCGATTGCTTTGGCCGCTGCCTCCGCCAACTCCGCCGCGTCCCCCTCGCCCACCGCCGCCGCCGCGCCCCGCCCGCCGCTGCCGCCGCCGCCGCCCGCCAGCGCGTCCGCCGCGGGCCCCTCTGGCCCGGCCGCGGCCTTGGGGGAGGGAAGGCCCGCTATGAGGTCGTTCCCGGCCTTCAGGCAGCTGTACAGATTGTCCAGCAGCCCCGGCTCGCGGCAGAGCCCCTCCAGGCTGACAGCCCCAGCCTGCTGCGGCCGCGCCGCCCCCGCCTCCGCGGCCACCGTCCGTGGCGGCGCTCCGCCGCCGGGCTCGAGGCCGCGCGAGAGGCAGACGGCGAGGTGCGCGACGCAGCGCGCGCACGCGGCGCGCATGTGCAGCGCCTGCGCGGCCGCGCCGAGAGTCTTCACGAGGACTGACACGAGCAGCTGCGGGACGGCTGCCACGCAGCCGGGCAGGGCACGCTCGCCGAACACCGAGAAGGCGGCCTCTGTGTCAGCGCGCGAGGGGCCCTTCACGTTCACCACCCAGTGTGCCTGGCGTGGGAGGAAGGGGCGCGCGCGTCGGGCGAGGCGACGACGGCAGGTGCCCTTTTTGTCGACAGATTGGCGCATGCGCGCGTCAACGGCCCCGCATGGCCCCCTCTTCCGGCCGCGGTTTGCCTGATCATCAAATGAGATCCTGCGTCCGACCATCCACGTCACCCACACGCAGTCCTTCTCGCCCGGCCCACCCACCAGCTCGCGCCAGAATGGGTGGCCCGGCCCAAGGTCGGACGCGTCTGCCGGCGCGCCCGGCACAGGCGGCGACCGCCACTCAGTCTGGCCCTCCGGGCTTCGCCGCCACCCAAACTGC